CAAACAGATAAGAAACAAAGAAAAATAAATCATAAAAGGCATAGTTCAGGTATAGTCTGAGTGAGTGTGGGTTTCCCTCCACAGTGCTCTTTGGTTTTAGAAAGTATTTTGTGGATTTGGCTAGAATTTAAGAAAGTCAGAAGGGACTATTAATAGATACTCCAGCAAAATTGAATATTTGAAGTTAATTATTGCACATCTATGTATGTATGTATTTATGGTGTGTGCATGCCATAGCATGCATGTGGAGTTCAGAAGAGCCCTGAAGGGAGTTTTAAAGTGTTCTGAGTACATAGTTGTTAATCATCAGGGGCAGAGATATGCAGAAAATAAAAAGGTAGCCCATCTTCAACTTGTGAAAAGGGCCTATTCCTTTTCAACTTGATGCAAGGTCTACCCCTCTTCAACTGAATAAAAGGGCCTGTCTTTCTTCAACTTGTTTATCAAGGGGGTTCCCATGGACTCCCCCAAACAATGCAGGCCATTGTGATTGCTCTTGGCTGCCCACCAGGAATTGGAAGGGTAAGATCTGATTGCGGAAGTCAGTCACCATATACATGAGTCATAGGATACAGAAATCAAGCTGGTACTGACCTGGACTCTTCATCTGAACTGGCTAGCTTTCAGGTTGCCAGAAGGCACTATGCATGCTACCGAGAGGGAAAAGCCATCAATATCTTACCCAGATGTGAACCCTGGGAGCTACAATAATGACAATTCTGGCAAGGTATGGCCACTGGTGCATAGTGGCTGGCATGTTATGAGAGTAACTAGCAATATTCCGGTTGGATTTAAGGCCTGACCCACAAGATAGAACTCATACCTGGTACTGTTAACTGGATCAAAAACACATTGCTGAGTTGGTCATAGACTCTAGGGGAGAACCTGTAACTATTATGTTGCTAAATGTACATTGTATCAAACTGCCCTCTAGATACTTACCATTATGCTCTTAGATTATTGCTGCTCTCAACTCATCAAAGAAGCATCTTTTTGCTGTAGATGACAGTACAGAGACTCAAAACCAGTCACAGCACGGAGAATAAGAAACTGGGGTGTTTCAGCCTAAATGGAACATCCATATCGTGGCCCTCCTCCCAAAACTCAAAGACCATCATCACAGAAAGGGAAAGCTGGAGATTGTGGAGGGCTGCGGCTAAGCAGTGTTTTCCAGACACTACGGGGCTGCTGAGCATAGGGACTCCCAGTAGCTGTTTCCGTACGCATGAGATCCACACAGCTCAGTCCAGCAAAGATCCAGCATGCATGGGAGAGGGGTCCAGAAAGTCCCACTCATAGCTGAGGAACTACTGGCTACTAGGGAGGGTCAGTCAGTTTTCTTCAGGGATACCGATCCTGGTAGCTGGCCCTTGCTTCAGTGAAATGGTTTTACACTCACACATACTGACAACACTAAAGGGAATAGCGAGTTCAAAGAAAGAAACAAAAAAGTTGCACATGAATGAAAGATGGAGAAATGGTGTAGGAGTGTGGGATGGGGTGGGTTTGTTCAGAAAACATTGTATGTGTTGTTGGGGAGGTGGATCAGCAGTCAACAATGCAGAGTGTGCTTATAGAGAACCTCAGTCCAGTTCCCAGCACCACATCAGGTGGCTCACAGCTGCCGAACTTTAGCATTGTAGACTTGTATGAAATCCTCAAAAAGGATGGTAGTATGTAACTCTCGTAGAATTCTGACAGATAGTTCACACTGTCATAGTGTCTGTTGTCTGCTCTTTTCCCTGTTGCTTCTGGATACATAACCCACCTTCGGGTTCAGACCTTTTAAGTTCCAGACTTGGAGATGGAGAAACTGCGGAGACTTTTACATGGCTACAGCTGGACACTGAGGTGTAGGGTGCTCTCTTTCCTTTTGCTAGTCATGTGTGTGGGTGTAATTTGGGATTTGTGCCTGGGGTACAAAAAGTACAGTAGATATTGCTGGGCAGCTAGCAGTGCAACAGAACCATGCTGCCCCAGGTGGACTGTCCGTGTGATTAGCACAGTGCTTTCTCATGGTGGGCACTCACTATAAAGTAGTTCAGTGGGGGAGTGTTCTTACTGTACCCAAAAGCAGGTATGGTTTGAATACTTGCTTTGTACATGGTGCTATGGCAAGCTTGTCCATTCTTTTTCAAATACCCTTTACAAACAAGGAATATTAAATACCATATAAGATTTATTTCAGGCTGGGCGGCGGTGGCGCACGCCTTTAATCCCAGCACTCGGGAGGCAGAGGCAGGCGGATCTCTGTGAGTTCGAGACCAGCCTGGTCTACAAGAGCTAGTTCCAGGACAGGCTCCAAAACTACAGAGAAACCCTGTCTCGAAAACAAAACAAACAAAACAAAACAAAAGATTTATTTCAGTTGTTTTATTGCTGTCATTGTTCCCCATTAATACGATGAAGCCTAATGTAAATCTCCTTTCATGTGCATACGATCAACAAACCATTGCTCATAAAAGATGTCTAGCAAATGTTTTAGATTTTTTAAATTGATTGAATGGAAATAAAACTTTGATGAATGCAAACATTTGATTTCCATAAAGGAAAGTTTATGTCTGCTATATACATATAAGATTTTTTTGGTCTTATATGTGTATTTATTAAAATGTTTTTGGACTTTAATTTGGCTTTCCGAGGAAAGGATGACAAATTATTTGTATATAATTAATTATAGTTAAGCAAGAAGTCACTGAAGGAATTATTAGACAAACGGCTAGTATAATTCCTCAAAACTGGGAATTGTCAATGCGTTGGTGTGTTTTAACTTCAGACACTTATCTGTTTTCTTAACCATTTCTATAGAAAATGCCATTTCTTTTTCAGTGTTTCATTCAGGAAACTTTCTCCATACATAAAGACAAACATCAGTTTTTCCTCAGATATAGACAAAACAATCCTATTCTTCTGAATCAGTTCACTCAGGTTTTTGTTTGCAGATTTGCCTGTGATAGCAGAACAAATGACATACCTGCTTGGCCGATAGACTTCATGTTAGATACCTTTATATCACGTGGTCAAAATACCTGGGAACAATGTGTAGGGAGGAATTATTTATTTTGGCTACCAGTTTCATAGGTGCTACCTATCATGATGGAAGGACAGGTTGGAGCAGAGCAGTTCGCATTTTATCAGCCAGAAAGGAAAAACAGACCGGAGCCACTGCAGCCTTACAGACATTCCCATGATTACCTCCTTCCAGAGCCCTCTTGCCCCCACCTTTCACCTGTGTTGTGGTAGCATAGATCTGTCAAGACATTTATCCATCGCGTAGGTCAGTGTCTTTAGGTTTTAATTCTTTGGAATGGCTTCACATACATATGGAGAGCTGCACTTCACTAACCTCTAGAATATTTATTCGGTCAACTCGATTTGACTAACCATCACAGAGTCCATGCCCTCTTTGACTTGGGAAAGTCCCCTGTTTGGCACTAGACAGTACTTTAGTTGCTCTGTGGAGGAGAAAGTAAATCTCACCCTATCGTAGTGATAAGTGGTGGCAGTCTTTACTTTCCTTGAGGTCATAGTAGATTTGAATGAAGACAGAGTCATACTTGTTGGGCCATGTGCACTAGTGCTTGGATGTTATCAGATTTCCAGGGTATGTGATTCATACTCAGGCATCAAGAAACTATTTAGGCAAAAAAGGAAGGAAGGAAGGAAGGAAGGAAGGAAGGAAGGAAGGAAGGAAGGAAAGAAAGAAAGAAGGAAGAAACTATTTAGGCTATTTCATTGGATAGTCCCTGAAAGAAAGAAAGAGAGAAAGAAAGAAAGAAATTATTTAAGCTATTTCATTGGATATTCCAGTTTTCTTTAAGTTCTGGAAGCATTGTAGAATGCTAGTAAATTGATGTTGCTTGGAACATGACTTTTATTTATTTATTCATTTTATTTGTTTATTCATTCATTCATCCATTTGTTTATTTATTTATTTTACATGCCAACCACAGTTGCCTCTCCCTCTTCTCCTCCTGTTCCTTCCCCATACCTCCCTCCTACCCCATCTACTTTGAACATGATTTTTACTAATTAGTTTGCTTTATATGTGAGGAAAGTAACTTTCAAACTTTTAAAAGTGTGATTAAAATAGTTATGAAGTTATGAAAATAAAATAATGTCCCTCAACAAGTAATGCAGTTCCTAAATTAGTCCCTTTTATGTTTGCGTCGCTCTTATCCCAAGCACATGGATAGCATTGTTGGATTGTGTGGTTAAACATTTTGGTCTGAAGTAAGACAACTCTGGGTCACATGTGGTTCCTCCCCTTAAGCATGTGACCTCAGTCAGACAAACTGTTTAGCTTTTCTGTGTTAGGTTGCATTTATCCCTGGAGAATAGTGATCCTTCATAGAGTTGTTGTGTGGCTGAGAGATGTGTGAGATGACTCGAGGGGCCGCCATGCATCTAGATTAGAAACTAATCTTTAAGGAACAGCAGAGAACAGAACGAAGACCACCTAGGAGTTAATAGAGAGAGTGGTGCTAACCAACAGGGAATAAGAGTGTCCCTTAGCAGAACCATTAAAGCTGGCCCACACCAGAGAAGATTAGCGTGGTCCCGAACAAAAGGGGGTGAGGAGCAGTGTGAAGTAGCAGAGATTGCCGTAGCTTGAATTTTGAACAGTAATTGTTTTACATTTATTACAGAAATTATTTATTCTGTAATAAATACAGTGATGTTAAATAGAAGATGAGAAATAAGGAAAAATATAATGAATTCTATTCTGTCTAAAAGATGTTCTATAGTATTTTTATGAAGGAATACAGAAGATGAACTAACCTTTCTTTGCTTTACTGAGGATGCTGAGATGACCAAGGCATAGTTTCTGTGTTGAAGAGACTTTTTGAAGGGGAAGATGCAGAGACAAAGAACACTTGAGGCCTGTGCATCCATGACTGCTGAAGTAGATCCATGAGTAAATAAGCATAGGGCACTTAGGAAGGTGCATGATGATCCCGTTCTTATGACAGCCAATATTTCTCTTTCTCTTTCTTCAGTTGGAGAACACCAGTTGACAGGCCATAAAGTGGCAGTTAAGATCTTAAATAGACAGAAGATTCGCAGTTTAGATGTTGTTGGAAAAATAAAACGAGAAATTCAAAATCTTAAACTCTTTCGTCATCCTCATATTATCAAACTGTAAGTATTTTTGTTTGAAAATATAAAAACGTCCTGAAATAGTTAAAACAAAATTTTATAAATATCTTGAGTTAACTTTAGAAAATATCAGTTTTCATGTTCATATTCGGTTTTAATTTTAATTCATTTCACATCTGTCAGTTCTTCAGTGCACATACTTGGTTTAGAATTTAAAGTCATTTCTTCAAAAGTGCTAGTATTCAAGTGAAAGCTGGTTCTTCAGATTTCAGTGTGAAGATTACTCAGAAAATGTATTGTTCCTAGGTTGGTTCTTTTGTTCTATTTTTAATTTAAAAGTAATGTTAGGCCAGGTGTAGCAGCACATTAATGTAATCTCACTTGGAGTCCAGGACAAGGGGGGTCATGAGTTTGAGGTCAACCTGCTGTACTTAGTAAAACTGGCCTTAATAAATAAGTAGATAGATAGATAGATAGATAGATAGATAGATAGATAGATAGATGGATGGATGGATGGATGGATGGATAGATAGAGTAGATAGATGATAGATGGATTAGATGGATAGGTAGATAGATAGATAGATAGATGGATGGATGAGTAGATGGATAGGTAGGTAGGTAGATAGATAGATAGATAGATAGATAGATAGATAGATAGATAGATGATGGATGGAGAGTTACAAGCTAGTTAGTAAAATTGAAAAAATAATTTAACTAGATATATAGAAAATTGAGACATTAAGCAGTAATATTCTGTTATGTTGTTTAAAGTTCTGGTTTTGTAGAGGATAATGTAGAATTCTAGAATAACCTTGAGTGTACTTTAAAGCTTGGATGCAGCTTTTATACAATAAATGCTAGTTTTGCTTAAGGAGTACTCGATGGCAGGCAGGAACTGTGCTGAGAATCCTGCATTTCTAATTCCTTATTATAGGATGGCAAGTCTGTAAGAGGACAGCATCCTAACAGGGATAAACAACCAGGAAGGCACATTTGTGGCTCCATGGTTCTACCCAGTTAAACTTACATATTATTACTCAGGTTGTGAAACAATAGCTAGGTATGAACCCAATATGGCGCTCTGTAAGGCCAAATTATTTAGTGAGTTTAGTAGTAGAAATAGGAAGAGAAATCTATGTCAAATAAGATTGCTGCATAAGAAAGCCTACTTAAGAATAAAGATATTAGGCTCCAAAGCCACAGAGAAACCCTGTCTTGAAAAACCAAAAAAAAAAAAGAATAAAGATATTAGTACCTTTTCGGTTTTGTTTGCTACTGTATCGAGAACAGAATAAACTATATTTAGCTTAGAATTAGTCAGTAATTTTTTTTTTCCCAAACAGAATTTCTCTGTGTAACCTGAGATTTTCTGGAACTCACTTTGTAACCTGCTAGCCTCGAACTCAGACTTCTGCCTGCCTCTGCCTCCTAAGTGCTGAGATTAATGCATGTACCACCACTGCCTGGCTAGTGAGCAATCTTTTAAAAAATAATTTTATTGTTTAAGAACTCTATACATGCATATATATATGTTTTGACCAAATCTACTCTATTCTTCCCCTCTGGTTCCCCTCCCCCACTGTTCCTTTACAACTTCAAAGCTCATTTTTAAAGCCTCAAAGCAGTATTTGAATGTCAGTGTTACTAGGGATTAACTTCCTAATCCTTATGGAGTTCTATTGGTTATTTGATGGTCAGCAGGATAATAGTCCTCCAAATGTCTGTGTCCTCACCTCAAGAACCTGTGAATGTTGTCAGTCACATCGCAAAATCCAAGTGCGTTTGCAGGTCATCTGAAGAGAGGGGTAGTTCTGGATGACCTGAGAGTCCGTGTAAGCACAGCGGTTCTCTGAAGTAGCAGAGAAGTGTAGAAGGATGAGTCAGAAAGAGACCTGAGCAGGGCTATCAGGAGCTGGTGTGAGACGACTCTGCTGGCTAATGGAAGCTTAAAAGGTGGAGGGAAGGGGCTCTGAGACAGCACAGGATAGCCAAAAGCCAAATCTCAAAGAAGAGGACTCCTGGAGTCCCCAGAAGGCATCTTAATTCATGGCAGGCTTCTAACCCACAGACTAACTGTAAGATAATGCATGTGTGTTGGTTTCAGTCTCTTTACATTTGAAGTATGGAGGCAAGGGAAACCAATGCAACACTATACTGGTTAGTTTTCATCAACTTGACCCAAACTAACATTACCTGGGAAGGGGGAATCGCAATTAAGGAATTGCCTTGTCAGTTTGGCCTATAGGAATGTCTGTGGGCCATTTTCTTGATTAATGACTGGGATTAGAGGGTCTAGCCCACTGTGGCCAGTGCCAACCCTGGGAAGATAGTCCTGGGTTGTATAAAAAAGCAAGGTGAACAAGCCATAGAGAGAGAGTGATCCAGTTAGTAGTGTTTCTTCACAGTCTTTATCTGCCTTTAGGTTCCCGCCTTCAGGTTACTATCTTAAGTTCCTGCCCTTACTTCCTTGCATGATGGGCTGTAATCTCTAAGATGAAACTAACCCTTTCCTCCCCAGGATGCTTTTGGTCAATGTTTTATCACAGCAGCAAAGAAGCAGGCTAGAACAATAATTACTCGTGATTTATTTTACCCCCAAGACAGGAAAGCCCTGGCTGTTCTGGAACTCAATATGTACACCTGGCTGCCTCGAACTTGCAGAGACCTTTCTGTCTCTGACTCCTAAGTGTTAGAATTAAAGACAGGTGCCATGCCCAGCTTGTGAATTCCTAAAATGTGTGGTTGGTGCAATTATTACAGACTTTGAAATGTTTATTTAGTTTTTAATTGTTATACTTTTTGTCAGTGAACTATTGCAAATTAAAGCATTTGATAATACACAGTGTCATCTGGCCAACGTCAAGAATATGCCACTGTCTGTTCCTACCTGACTAATACGTGGTTTGGTGTGTCGCTAGGTGACACAGTTGTCATGAGACTTTGTTTTATAGTAAGCTTCAATGCTATGTGACACGTATGTTAGGTTTACTCCATCACAAATGTAGAATCATGTGGCAGTATTTGATTTTAAGACTATGTCCAGTACCAGGTGATCGATGACGCTAGAATGTGTATATAAACGTTTTGGAAGATTGTTATGAAATATAACCTATCAAGGATAATGTGCTTCTCCTCCCATTCATTTTCTAACTTTTGAATGGAGTGCTTCATAGTGTTATGTAAGAAGTAACTGTTGGCATTGGTGGAATGCCTAGTTTGTGATAAGCACAAAAGGAGGCATTGGCCTCTCATGAACTGATTCTTCTTGAGTTAACTCCAAGTAGTCAGTTAGCTGAAACAGTCATATGTTTTGTTTTGTTTCGTTTTTAAAGACAGTCTTGCTATGTAACCTAGCCTGGCTCAGAACTGCTGGCTGACCTTACAAATTCACAATCCTGTGTAATCTAAGCAAACTGACAATCCTGTGTTTGCTTCCCTAATGCTGAAGTTCTAGGCCTGTGACCCTGGCCCTTCTCACATCTGACTTGACTTCATGTTTGTAATGACGTCAGTGGTATGTAGACTAAGTCTCTTGTTTTTTTTTTCTGCTTAGTAGCTATTGTGGATGAGGAGAGAAACCTTAAATGGCCAGACTTTATGCTTCAACTTCACCTTCAGAATGCTAACCCTGAAAGCTCCTATGTGACTTAAATTTGTTCTGCTCTTAAAAACACAGATTGCATTTGTCATGGTTCTAGTTTAATTTCTGTTGCTGTGATAAAAACATCTAGCCAAAAGCAGTTTAGGGGAGAAAAGGGTTTTCTCCACATATTATTATAGGTTACAGTCTACTGTTGAGGGGAAGTCAAGTCAGGAACACGGTAGCTAGTCACTCATGTCCACAGCCAAGGGCAGAGAGAAATTGAATGCACACCCACTGGTTGCCTGCTGCATGCTTATATTCAGCTAGCCCTTCTCACTATCAAGCAGTTCAGGGTCTACCCCATAAAGTGGTGCCATCCACAACAAACTGAGTCTTCCTACAACAATAATCAACATGACCACTCAGTTTCCAATAGACCAGTATGATCTAGATAATTTCTCAAGTGAGCTTTCCTTCTCAGGTGACTCTTAAGTTCTAGCAAACTGAAGATTAAAACTATCAGTACAGTTAGTAAACATCTGTGGTTATCACAGAATTTAAAATTTTATTTCTGACATAATTTATCAATGTTGTTTTTGTTTTTATAATTTAATAACATCTCTAATTAGAACTGGTATTTTTACATTGTTCTAAAGTAGCTACAGATTAATCTGAGAATTGATTAGCAAGTAATTAGCAAAGGTGAATCCAGTGTTTAAAGCTCTTGATTTTTCAACCATAAGCTGAAGTCATTCATCCACATGCCTCTTTAATTGTGAATCTGAATTTTTAAAAAAGAAAAACACTTATGTTTTCTTCCTACTGAGACTTATTGACACAGCCTCTAATAATGTTAGTGTTAAACACATGCGTGCGCACACACACACACACACACACAGAATGTGCACATATGATGAGGCAGTGGAAAGTAGGCAATAAATCCACAATAGCAACTATAGCATATGCAATAAAGATGTGAATATTATAGATGTCATGTATTAAAGATTTAAATATTATAGATCTCATATATTAAAGATGTAAATATTATATATTATAAGAAGATATACACAGAGCAATTAACAGTACAAAGTATTTGAAGTGGAAAACCCTACACTTCAAGTAATAAAGGTAGCAGAATGACCTAGAGCAGTGGTTTTCAACCTGTGGGTTGTGACCCCTTTGTGGGGTCATATATCAGATATTTGCATTACAATTCATAACAGTAGCAAAACTACAGTTGTGAGGCAGCAATGAAAATAATTTTATGGTTAGTGGTCACCACAACATGAAGAATTATATTAAAGGGTCATAGTATTAGGAAAGTTAGGCGATCTCTAGGGGTTTGTTGTGATTAAAAACAGAGACATAAAGGAGAGCTAGACTGTATAGTACATCATTGAATGTTGGTAAGGACTTTAACTTCCATCTTGAGTAAGATGAAAAGCCTCTGAAATATGTT